TACTTGCGATGCGTAGTTCACAGTCGTCAAGGAGATGCCGTTGTTCTTTACAATAGCGACAGAATAGCGAGCCCGAAGATGTTGCATCTTGTTTCATCTTAGATCGACAATCTTTGGCGACATGTCCAAAATTATTGCAAATTTGACAAACAATTTTGGTCATATTTTTTGAATTATTTTGTTCATTTTGCTTTTTCCAACAATTATTGGCCGAATGGCCTGACTTGTCGCACCATTGACAAATTATAGAGGACTTATTCTGAATATTGTTATTAATATTGCTATTTGTTTTACAAAATTTAGCATTATGACCAAATTTAAAACAAAGTTGACAAATAATATTATTTCCTTGTATTACCTTGACAGGTCGTTGAACTCGAGGGTCGCTAAACTAGTTATTTTTCTGCAATTAGAAGCCGAGTGCCCCTCCTTATAGCAAATTTGACACGTTTCGTGTAATTTATTAGTATCTGGTTTTTTACTTGCTGTATTACTGTGCCCCTGTCGTAAATCTGTCATCGAGTGTAGTTCTCTCTCAATTCTTAAAGCATCAGCTACGGTTTCGTGGACATTTAAATTTCTTGCTATTCTCTGTTCGATTTCCGGTGTTAGCCCTCTAATGAAGCATTTACACATATCTTTTTCTAAGGATGGCTTAATATCTTGATTAGGAAGAAAATTTCCCGAATCTTTATGCGCCTTTAATGTTTGCTTCCCCAAAATTTTAACTCGATTCGCGTAAGTAACAACGTCTTCTTCGTTCTTTTGATAGATGTTTTCCAATTCTCCTTGCAATTGATAAACATTTTTGGATGGGCCATAAACCTGTTCTAAGTATTTTGTTAGTTGGGATACACTGTCAAAATTTTGATCTTGAATTGTGCGGCGTGCTTCGCCCACAATTCTCGTTCTAATAATCTTGGTAAATTGAGATTCAGTTTCTGCAGGCAACATGGATTTCGCTTCCTCACGTCTCTCAATAAAATGTTAGCGGAATATTTTTACCGTCGAAGAAAGGGACGGCTTCGACCGCGTATTTTAATGTAGCGAACGGATTTGGATTCGCCATTATTTTATCTCTTTTTGTCTTAGGAGTACCTTTAATTTCAGTTACCGGTTGTATTGTTGTATCTCCGGAAGCGTTGGAGACAAGTGTATTAGTTAAAGTTTGAAATAGATCTTGGTCGATCTCAGAGTCATCCAGCGAGAAGTCAATTTGCTTGTGTATAGTTTTAGAGGACGCAGGAGTGGATGCGTGGATTGTTATGTTATCGTGTTTTGGCTTGTTGTGATTTTCTATAGCGGTTCTATAAATATCGTTAAGGAGGACGCAGGAGTGGATGTGTGGATTGTTATGTTATCGTGTTTTGGCTTGTTGCGATTTTCTATAGCGGTTCTATAAATATCGTTAATTTCCCCTTTGCCAGATGTAGACCTCGTATTCATACCTGCCCACAAAGGTCGCACTTAAAATCCCGGACGAACCCCCAAATTTGCTTAGTCTGTTACGTCCAAGCTCCGATAATATGCGTGAATAGGTTTAGGGAAAGAAAAGGATAAGAAGGGAGAAGCATGGAAGGACGTTAAAGCAGACGCTATGTCTCGCATACATCCGCGGGAAAGGGATGGAGCGAGTCGAACCCACCGTTTATTGCTCTGGAATATGGGTCAACGTCCCGAAAGAACGATATGACACCTGTTTCCGATGAGCAGTGCGATCGTCGGACCGACTTTAGAGTCAAGGAACTTAATCCTTATAACTCGGGACCGGACGATATGCGATCTCTGACGCGGGGTGGGAGTAGGTACGAGGTCTTATAATCTTAAAATAAATGTGAATTGTGGACCATTATATATATATATATATATATATATAT